TACCACTTGAAACAATGCGGTTTTATTGTGCTTTCTACTTAAATAATACGATATTTACATTACAGAGTGTATCAGTTTCCGTAATAATACAAGTAGATTACTTTTGATAATTTTACCTTCTTATGTAATAAATTAAAATTATTATATAAGTACTATAATAGCATTAATTAATTAATCTTGAATTAAAATTTGTAGTTATGATCTATTTAAAATAACTATTTTTAAATACCAAACCATGTTTAATAAATCACACTGTTAATTATATATAGAGTAGAATGTATTTATGATATAATTTGTTATTACAAATCTACAAATTTTTTATTTACTGTTTATAGTGATCAGGAAGTATTATTATATAAGCAGTTTATAAAGAAATTTATCATTGTTTAATAAGTCACATTTTTTATTTATAGGTAAATCGGAAGTATTTACTTTAGATAACATTTTATTTATTTATCATATCATTTGTTGAAAGTATTTCACTGAGATCTTATAAGTTTTATACTAATAATTATATTATTAATTACTTAATATATTAAACAATTTTTATTTATCATTATTCAAAAGTTTAAAAAATAATAAACAATAAAATATAGTAAATTAATTTGTAATTTATAACTGGCCACTTTTTAAATAAATCATGTACAGTATAAACTTATGAAAATTAATCAAGCCTAAAAAATATAATTTAAATTATAAATTTGACAGTGACATATTCACCAAATATAATCTCTAAATACGTTTATTTATTGGTATTTGTATTAAGATTAAATAATATAAATATCTTTATAAACAATTAAAATTTATTAAATTCTTATTATTACAATAATTTTAATTATTTATAAAAACATATAACTTTAACAGAATAAAACAATAATAGTAAATCTAAATGGATAACATAAAAATAATAATTTAATGATAACACGTGAAAATAATGTATTAATTAAGCTCATTGTTTAATAATTAACTATAAATTGATAATAGTGATAAATAAACAATGTCCTTTTGAAATACACATGATAATACAGTATATGTAAATTTATCAATACAATTGCTAGCAATAACCGGACCTATGGATAGATTATCAGTGGTTTGGTTTGATTTTACATTGTTTAACCATCTAATATAAAAACAGTTGGATAAGGTAATCATTAATTAATTGTTTGACTATTACCATAATGAAAACATCACTAATATTGAGTTTCTTGTTTATAGTGGTAAACGGTTTACCAAAACCCGGAGCCCAGGAGTTTACGGGCAAACGATGGGTAGTGCTGTGCGCGGGTGGAGCTGGGTGGAATAATTACCCATTCCAGGTTATTATGACATGATCAATATCATTTTAATTATACTTTTATATTATCATTTTCAAATCACATAAATTCAGGCCAGCATTTACCATGCCTACCATATTTTTATAAACCATGGCATACCAGCCGATAATATAATTGTAATGCACCCTGATGACTTGGCATCAAGCAAACACAACCCCACTCCGGGAATTGTGGTAAACCAAGTGAATGGCACCGATGTCTATCACGATGTGCCCAAACATTACATCGGGGATGAAGTAACACCAAAGGTAAAATTTATTAAACTAGTTATTTTACCATCGTAAAATTGACGTATTTATTTGCATCATGGTGGTTTTATTAGAACTTTTTAGGCGTATTAAGAGGCGACCCGGAGCTAAAAGCTGCCGGAAAGCTAGTGGTCGATGGCGGACCCAACGATCACATATTTGTATTTTTTATGGGCCATGGTAGTGTTGGTATGCTATTCAACTTGTTTTTAAATTAGTTAGTTATGTTTAGACCTTAACATGTACATTTATATTGCACATAAACTTCAAGAATCTATTGACTTTCCGAGGGGTACACTGTTTGCCAAAGACTTAATCAACGAGCTGAAAGGAATGCACCATGCTCAACGATACGCCAAACTATTGTTTTACTTGGAGGCCATCGATTCAGGTAGATTAATTGAAATAAATAGCGTCAATAAATAAATGTCCAGGGCAAAATTAAGCACAATTAATGAACTGTCGTAATCAATATACTGACCAGGCTCGATGTTTGACAAACTATTGCCCGCAGACATTAATGTTTACGCCGTGACATCATCGAAACCTGACCAGGCAAGTTGGGCATGCTGTTACGATACGGTGCGCAAGGCCTATGTGGGTAAGTCCATATCAACCTTAAGCAAGTAGTTTTATAATATACAGTAATTGTACAATTTGTATGTATAATTTGCATTAATAGTTAGACTTTAATATAACTCATATTGGAATTACATAATATATTCTCTGTTAAATAAGTGTAATTTTAATTAATTAAAAAATTATTAGTTTGTATTGGACACAACACCAAAGTTATCAGAGTGTTATTAGTTGTATTAATTTATTACACATTATAAACAAAATTACAGTTTATTCAATGTAAATGCATATCATTATTAAGAGCTTTTAATTTGCTCTCACAAAATAACCAACAATGTTATAATTTATAAACAACTGGATTATAACAACAAAAATGTACTTTAACTAGGTGGACATTTCAGCCAGCACTGGTACGCTGATAATGAGATCAGTGACGTTAACATCGAGACTATCGATCAACAATTTTTATATATTAGTTTGCATAACAAGATTGACATTCAAAACAATACTTTTGAAGAGGCTCAACATTACGGCGATTTAACGATTGGTCAATTGACCTTGTCGGAATTTTTTGGTATATTGTGTTTATGTTAAAAAAAATATAGTTACTATTTAAATATTTTAAATATAACAGGACTTAAAAAACAATCATATAACCCACAAATTACCCGGATATACAATGGACAATGCGAATATGTGGACCAACGCGATATTGCTATACATTTAACTGAGCAGAATATCATGCATAGCAGGGATAATGTTGAGAAATTACGGTATTTTTAATTCAATAAAATTAATTAATTATATAACCTATACAAAAACAATTAAAATAATTAGTTACACACGAGAATTGGGGCACATATTGAACGGCAGGCGATACGCCGATAAACACTTGATCGCTATGTTGGACGCCATTAAACCGTTGACTGGTCTGTGGGCTACCGATGCCATCAGCGGCCGACACCCACTTAATAACCGAGATTGTTATAAAAAGTTTGTCGAGACCTTTAGCGATAGATGCTTTAACTTGAGCAAGGTAATACATTTTTAGTTGTAATTATTTTAAAACAAAATTATTTAATTGTATTTTTGTTTAACCCATAGAATCCTTATTTCTATGGAAAACTGAACGCTTTTGTTAACGTTTGCGAGTCGTTGACCGACACTACCGGTGAAGAGTTGGCACTCAATCTAATGACCCGTTATTGTGAACAAAACGTTCACTTGGATTTGAATGTGCAGTTTATGGAAAACTGAACGCTTTTGTTAACGTTTGCGAGTCGTTGACCGACACTACCGGTGAAGAGTTGGCACTCAATCTAATGACCCGTTATTGTGAACAAAACGTTCACTTGGATTTGAATGTGCAGTAAATGTTAATAGTAATACTTTAAAGTAAAGTTACATTTTAAAAAATAATGTCTGCCTTTTTGCACCCAATATTTATGTTGTTTGACTATTTCCACATTGAATTATTGTGATTTTGAGATAAAATTACAGTTTATACAAACTTTTAAAGCATATTAAAATATGTTATTATTTAATTAATTCTGACTATATACGATTTAAATTTTTATTTCAACAAAATTATACATGTAAACAATGACAATAATATTTTCCCAATTTGTATTAGAATGGATTTATCAATAAAATATTAAACTTTAATAGTAGCAACTAAGAATATAATAGCCAATATTTTATAATGCTTAACAAAACTTACACACTAGTATAATTGCTAGATAATTATAAATTAATTGTAATATTAATTCATTTCTAAATGAATGTACCATATATTTTATTTCGTAAAATCAATTTATAGAGTACTAGTATTTTATCCGATAAATAAACAATGTCTATTTAGAATAATTAGATATCAATAACAGTATATACACAGTGTATACAACAATCAGATCACAAATATTTATAAATTTTACATTGTGTAGCTAGCTATAATTGTGTAGCATTATATTATAAAGGCTTTAGGATATTATAATTATTAATCAATTGTCAATTATAATTTAAAATGCAACTTGCACAAATGTTTTGTATAGGTTGGTTGGGCTTAATAGCGGTAAACGCTGTACCAAAACCGGGGGTCCACGAGTTTACGGTTATGAATGTAAAATCTACTTTATATGACTGGAAATTATCTCGCTACATACCTAATAGAATCTAGATTTCTGCTTAAGAAATAATTAATAATTAGAATCAGTTTAAAACATTGTGTACATAATAAAAATGAACTTTTTAACTAACTTATTGTAGAGATCATTTAATAATTATTATCTGGAACTCTTATCAAAAAATACACTTAAATAAAAACAAATGTGCCATTGTTCACAAGTGAAACAACAAGATAACATAATTCATTGTCATGATCAAGATCACAAAACTACTGTATACTTTATATGAAAAACACATTTTTACAATAATACTACATTTCAAAATAATACCCCATCCAATCAGTGATTAAAAATACACAATAAGCATATAATTAAAAATAATTTTATCATGGTACTATCGCTTAAACATAGTACTAATCCATGTAGTAATCATGCATCTTGTGGCAATGCATAATGGTTAATCTGGGTATAAATAGACTAGGCCAGCTCACCAAACGAACTAACTAGCACAATGAAGTTAGCATTAATATTTAGCGTATGTTTTATAGCGGTTAACGCCGTACCCAAACCCGAGGCCAAGGAGTTTACTGGCAAACGATGGGCCGTACTGTGCGCTGCGGCCGGCGGTTATGGCATTAATTATGCTTTTCCGGTTAGTTAAATTAAGCTAGATTTATTTTTTTAAATGTATATTATTAAAAATTTTACAATTATTAATAATAATAATATAATAACAAATACTTATATAATAATCACATTAATTATAATAAATAGGCCAGTGTATACCACGCCTATCACTTGCTATTGAACCATGGTATTCCGGAAGAAAACATTATTGTAATGCACCTCGATGACTTGGCCTATAATAAACAAAATCCCACACCTGGTATTGTGGTGAACCAGGTGAATGGCAGCGATGTTTACCATGGTGTGCCCAAACATTACATCGGGGCTGAAGTTACTCCCAAGGTAAAAATGAAATTATATTAAATTATCATAATTTCTAATTACCACTGCATTTACATGTATGTATAATCTAGAACTTTTTGGGAGTACTCAGAGGTGACCCAGAGTTAAAAGCTGCCGGAAAGAAGGTTATCGAGAGTGGTCCCGATGATCACGTGTTTGCTTTCCTGTTTGATCACGGTGGAGCAGGTATGATTTGTCTTGATATAATAAATCTTATTGTATTTTATTGTTAATTTTATTCATAATTTTTAAATTAAAAATTTAGAGACCGTATACTTTACTCATGGGCAGCTGTTTGCCAAAGATTTAAACAAGGAGCTTGTCCAGATGCATCAGGATAAGAAATACGCTAAAATGTTGTTTTATATCGAGGCGTGCGAAGCAGGTAAGGTGTCATTTAATCGTACAGTAGTAAACTAGATAATAATTTTTATTAATTTAAATTAGATACAGACTATTATTTTTAAAACATCAGTTATCTTATCGTAATTATTATAACGTTTTTGTACATGTAATCATTTGTTATTTTAAACTTATTTATTATTTAATTATATAATAGGCTCAATGTTTAACAACATTCTACCTGATAACATTAACGTATACGGCGCTACATCGTCTAAACCCAACGAGCTCAGCTATCCCTGTTGTCACGATCCCGTGCGAAAAGTTGGCGTTGGTAAGTTTATTCAAATTATTAACTTGAATAAATTTTTAAAAACTAAGCCTGTGTATTTATTATTCAGGTGGACTGTTTAGCGATGCCTGGTACAGAGATAGTGAGACCAAGGACTTAAACACCGAGGTGATTGAGACCCAGTTCGCTTTTATTGCCAAGGAGATTGCCAAAACTGAGCATCCGCAACACTATGGTGATTTGTCTATTGGCAAAATGTCCCTGGCTGAGTTTTTCGGTATTAATAAAATAATTTTTTAGAAACATTATCAATTAATTATAAATAATAATGTGTTTATTAAATTACAGGTCCGAAAAAGGTAATTGATCATCCAGTGGTTGCCCAGACAAATGCCAAGCAATGCGAGATGGTAAATCAGCGTGAAATGGCAATATGGTTGGCCGAGAAAAACATTGAAACATCCACCGATGTCAAAGAGAAATTACAGTAATTTAATTACCATGCTAGCAATTTATTTTTATATTTATTTTATTTAATTCGATTACAAATAGCTATACACAAGAGTTAGAGCGTATTTTGAATGGCAGGCAATACGCGGACAAACAGTTGAACGGTTTGTTGGAAACATTGAAACCGTTGACCGGTTTGGAGGCCACCGATGCCCTCAACACCCGCCGGGAGATCCATAACCGCGAGTGTTATTACAAGTTTGTCCAGACTTTTGGAGAGAAGTGTTATGATTTCAATAACGTAATCATTATTATTGTTTATCATAATGAAATATAAATGTTTAGGACAATTTATTATATATTGATAGTCTATAATTCTATTTAAACATTTACATTTTTCAGAATCAATACTTTATGGGAAAAATGCACGCATTTATTAACGTTTGCGAATCACTGCCACAAACGAGTGCCGCCACCGACAGTGCCATTGAGCTTATGGTACAATACTGTCAATTAAACGCTAATTCAGATTTGAATATAATGTAAATTCTGTTATATTGAAATATTTCAATAAAAAGTAATATAATAAAAGTCTATACAAATATTTAATTTTTTAATTGTACAAAATTAAAAATTATTTTATTGTGAAAGATATTAGTTATTACGATTAATTTAAAGAAATTTAAGCAAATTAAGCTCTCGAGGAAGTGTCTGGCTCCCAAAAATTCTACATAGACGTATTGAAATTATTAATATATTATAATAAGGAAAGTATGCAAAGCAATTATTTGTATTTAGAATTATAAAAATAAGTCTTTGATTATAAACTATACAAACTGTCCTTAAAATTATGAACATTTGGAACAGTTTATCGGTCACATTATTGCATTAAATCATATTAACATGATTAAATAAAATTTTATTTGTAAAAATTATCATGAAGATTACAAATTATTACAAAATACATTTTTATACTGAAATATGTAGAAAAATACAAACACCGAATTAAATATTATGAACTTATTATGAAAAAAAACAAATACTTTATTTTGTATATTTATTTATAGATAGTCAATACAGTCAATGTACAGCATTAATGTACGATATATTGAGCTTGTACTAATATGTAGGTAAAGTGCCTATTGGTAAAGTACCCTGAAAATATTTCCATTCAAATTGCAATTATGCCAATGTTCTTGCTAATCAACCATAAAGCATAAAGGCACATGTTTTCAATAGATCTAGATATTATTATTATTAAACAACTTATATAATCACAAAAATGCGTATGATAAAATAAGTCACATTTTTTCTAATCCCTTCGTGTGTGAGTATGTGATTTCTTAGAAAATTTAATATCAGCACGATCATTTTTTAACACACAAAGAAAATTGCCTACAGACAAAAGAAATCACCACACACGATTTTTGGCATTAAAACAAAGCGTCTTGATTAAAAATAGATCTTTGTATTATGCAATATAGTACAGTACTAATAATTCAAGTGACAAGTGTCATGATCAAGTCATTATTGACAGGTCATATGAACTAGTGCAATTATTAAATGTATATAAGTAGCTGAAGCGCTATTGCAAAATTTAATATTGTACTTGGTGAATTAATAATAAACATAAAAAGTGATCATAATGAAATTAGCGTTGATTTTTAGCTTATTGTTTTTAGCGGTTAGCGCCGCACCAAAGCCTGAAGAGGCCAAAGAGTTTAAGGGCAAGCGTTGGGTTGTGTTGTGCGCCGCTGCCGGTGGTTATGGCATTAACTATGCTTTCCAGGTTGGTACATTTTAACCAATATAATTATTTTAGCTTGCATTTATTAAAAATTAGTATTTACATTGTTAGATCATAAGCAAAATAAAATAATTTATATTTGACAATTTTGTACAATAATATGGTGTAATTTTTGAAATAGTTTTACTTTACTTTAGATTTAGCAAGATTTAATCATTATAATTTATAAATGCAATTATATAAGTTTGAATTAGAATTGAAAACTAATATATTTATAAATGTACCCAGGCCAGCGTATACCACGCCTACCATTTATTGAAAAACCATGGTATTCCTGAGGAGAACATCATCGTTATGCACCCTGATGACTTGGCCTATAACAAACAAAACCCGACTCAGGGTATTGTTGTAAACCAGGTCAAAGGTCCCGATGTCTACCACGATGTACCCAAACATTACGTTAAGGACGAAATTAACCCCAAGGTAATTTGCAAAAACAAATTTGTTTATTATTTTAACAATGTTCATGATTTCACTAAATTAATACCATATTGTATTTTATAGACCTTTTTATCAGTCATCAGCGGTGATCCCAAACTGAAGGCTGCGGGAAAGAAGGTGGTTGAAAGTGGCCCTGATGATCATATATTTGTCTTTTTATTTGACCATGGTGCCACTGGTAATTAACACTATTTCACACCATGTTGTATATTATATTAATAAATTTGTTTATACCTACTATACAGAGTTGGTTGCATTCCGAAGTGGTCAGTTGTATGCTAAGGACCTGAAAAATACCCTGGTACAGATGCACGAGGACAAAAAATTCGCCAAGATGCTGTTTTATCTCGAAGCCTGCGAATCTGGCTCAATGTTTGACGGAATCTTACCTGATAACATTAATGTGTACGCGGCCGCGTCATCTAGGCCCGATGAGCCCAGTTACCCATGCTGCAATGACCCCATCAGACACGTTGGTGTTGGTATGTTTCATAACTCACCATAGTAGATTTTAAAAAATTATTAACAAGTATCATTAATGTGTTACCTAGGTGGTTTGTTCAGCGATGCCTGGTATAGAGACAGTGAGACCAAGGACTTGAACACCGAGACTATTGCCGAACAGTTCACATTCATTGCCAAAGAGATCAAGGGCACTGAGCACTCGGTACACTATGGTGATGAATCGATTGGCAAAATGACCCTGGCCGAGTTTTTCGGACCCAAAAAGGTGATCGATCAGTCGCTGGTCAGCAATGTTACCCGTAATAATGAACAATGCCAATTGGTTAACCAACGCGAGTTGGCCGTATGGTTGGCCGAGAAAAACATCCAGGGTGCTACCAATGTTAATGACAAATTGAAGTATAATTATTAGATTATTTTTTCAATAATCCAGTTTAATTAATTAATGAAATACCATTATAAAAATAGATATACCCAAGAGTTGGAGCTAATATTGAATGGCAGACAATACGCGGACAAACAGTTAAACGGTTTGTTTGAAACCCTTAAGCCGTTGACCGGTTTGGAGGCCACCGTTGCCCTCAACACCCGATCCAAAGTCAATAACCGCGAGTGTTATTACAAGTTTGTCCAGACTTTTGATGAACAGTGCTTTAATTTAAACAATGTATGTGTTAATCTATCATGATTTTAATCACTTAAATTAGCTAAATCAATTTAATTATTATTGTTTTTAATTCACAGAACCCCTACTTCACCGGCAAATTGCATGCATTTGTTAACGTTTGCGAATCACTGCCACAAACGAGTGCCGCCACCGACAGTGCCATTGAGCTTATGGTACAGTACTGTCAACAAAACGCTAACTCAGCTCTTAATATCCAGTAAACATGTTTGATTTAGTTGATTTAAACTAGTACATTTTTATGGTATC